TTTGCTCTGCTTCTGCGAGTCGCATGATTGCATGAGGGACCACCAAATCACAAACGTCCCCTCAAACACACATACACACACTGCGCTTGTTAGCACTGTCCGTTTAGCCGCAGCATGTGTGGAGGAAACGTGTGTGTGTGTGTGTGTGTGTGTGTGTGTGTTCAGAGGTCGTTGGCTCAGACTGACAGGACGCTTACAGAAACCAATGCCAGCAGCAATAAAGATCCCGCTCCAATTAATGACACCAAAACAAGCACACACACACACACACACACACACGTAGTCCATCAGAACTCTCTGTTATGGAAATGGCCATTCGTTCTCCCTCACTTCCTATATGCGACACTCAGAATATTGGCTTTGTTGTCATACACAGATGAAAAAACACACAAGCAGTAGCAGAAAAATAAAACTACCAGTACTTAGAAACAAAGTTAATGCTAAATTTAAAATACATTTCATTTTAACAGTCTTTCTGCAGTGCTGTCTGACAGTAAAAGCTATTGAAATGCCTTCATCTGGTCTGTTTTTGTTGGCGTATCGTTATGTGAAGAATAAAACTGCTGTCTAATGAAGTGGTTGGGAGTAAGTAAATCTGTCCAAACAAATGTCCAACTTGTGATTCCGTTTTTACTGAGATACAAGCATTGTAGTCATAAAATATTCACTTGGTTATGTCTAAAGCTCACTCGAATTTGTTCTAGATCATTAGACGTGACGTTATGGTGCCTTTGAGGCCTGTGTGAAACCAGTTTCTGTACCTTCATGCAGAAACGCAGTCTGTGAAGTCATTGACTGACTGGGCCATTAAATAACAGACAAAGTTTTAGTAAGTAATAAGTATTCCATTCCAGTCATGTTTTCTTAGACCCCAATAGATGGCTATTTTGTTGCCTGTTCAAAAACATTTGCTTAATTGTGATTGTGTTTCCCTTACAAAAATTAACCATAGTTTTGCTATGCTAACCATAGTTTAACCATGGTATTTGTAATATAATTGTGGTTATACAAATGCATCTGCCAAAAAAAAACATGGTTTACTATAGTAAATCCATGGATAATTTTCATAAGGTTTGTTCAAGCTAGGCAAATGAGCCTTTATATACATTTGTTATTGATCCTATACTTATTAAATTAATGTTAAACAAAACTAATACTTGTAAACAAACTGAGAAATTTTGTATATATGTAATACTTGACAGTACTGCTATGATTGTGTTGTAGCTTGCTTAGGGTATTTACTAGGATAGCAGGCTAAATGGCTAACAATATGCTAAGCTAGTATGGTTAGCTTCTGAGCTTATAAAATGTAGCATATCTTTTAAAACATTAGTTTATTCTACCTTATAGGCCAATTTATTTCTACCATATATGTTACATATAATATAAAAGAACAACTAAACATCATAATAATGCAAAGTGTTTTTATACAGTATACAGTATATTCTATTGGGTGATGGTTAGCTATGTATGATGGTAATTCCCTTAAAAAAATTAACCATGGTTTTGCAAACAATAAAACCAAAAAACATGGTTATTGTGGTTAAACCATGGTAACCACAAATTAACCATGGTCTTGCTACACTAACCATAGTTTAACCATGGTATTTGTAGTAGTTATACAAATGTTAACCAAATCGGCCAAAAAACCATGGTTACTACACTTTTACTATAATAAAATTACCAATTTTTGTATGGATTGACTGAAGGTCATTTCTAATTGGATAAAAGCTTTCCCCTCTGTCATAAAAGTTCACTTGCATTAGGTGTCAACTACTGAAATGTTGGTATTGTGACAGCACTAATACACATACAGGCATTTAGAAGAAGAATGTCAGTCCGGCTTTTCTTAAACGTGAAACTGAAGTGGAAGGATCATGCCATGGTCTATGGATATCAGAACATCTCACACACACTCTTGTCATTTAGAATTCTCTCTGTTATGGAAATGTGCTTTGTTCTACATCACTTCCTCTCTGTTTCTTGGGATATTGGATTGGTCGTCACGTTACGCACACGCATTCAGATGCAGTGGAGCGCTGCGGCTTTTCTTAAACGCGGAGCTGTCAGAGAATAGATTATAATGCAGTTTTCAGATAACAAAATATCAGCAGATAAACACGCACACAAACACTTTCCATTAGAAAAGAAAACACAAAGCGTGATTGTTCAGTGCAGTTTTTCTTTAGAGTATTTGTTGTATGTGAATGAGCCGAACACAGGATCCCAAGTTCATTAATGTTTCCAAACTGCATTTTGCAAAGTGTGGCTCTTAGTACATCTATTTTGTTAAAGTTTGTGTGACTTGTGACCGGGAAATATGTCATGTAGTTATTTTAGTGTGCAATTGTATTGACAGTGGCTTGTCATAATGGCTTTATGTATTGATAATGCTTTGTGCTTTTGTGGATAATGGTTTTTTTATTGATAATGTTTTGTGTTTTTGTAGTTAATTAGTGAGTATCTGTGTGTGTGTGTGTGTGTGTGTGTGTGTGCGCGCGATTTTGTGACAAATGAGGACATCAATTTGTATAATGACAAAGGTATGACATCACTGTGGGAGTTAGTATGATCGATAGTGTGTACTAATAGAATAGTTGGCAATGTTTTGTGTTTCTGTCCCATCTAGGACATTCTAAAAATGTTGGCTAACCTTACATAAAGTTATTTTTAAATATTGTTAATGGAAGGCATGATGTTATTTGTGTTTGATTCAAGTTCCCACAAAGTTATGTGAAAGCGTTTTAGTTAGGGCTGCACAATTAATCGAATTTCTAATTGTGATTAAAATTATGGATGCCACAATTACGTAATCGGTCAAAGCGGCAATTAATCGTCCAAAGTCCACTTACCTTATTCTGCGTGCTTAAGATGTGTTTTTTTTTCTTTCTACATGTTATCTTAAGGGTTTTTCCCATTATTTTAATTTTAGTTTTAGTATAACATTATAATACCTTCATATTTTTACTTTTTTATAATTTAAAGAAGAAACCAATCCGATGTATAGTTGACATTTCAGGCTTAATACTATAGAAAAGCACTAAAAGTTTTTCACTTAGAGTGTTTTCAGCTTGTTTATTTTCATTTAAAAATACGGCATGCAGTTGCATCAAACAATGGTATAAACATAATTCAATGTAAATTGTGATAATCGTAATTAATAATCGCAATTACAATTTCAAGGGAATAATCAACAATTATGAGTTTTGTCATAATCGTGCAGCCCTAGTTTTAGTGCAACATTGTTTGAAAGTCATTGAAGGATGTGTACTAGTGTGCCTTACCTTAGGTTAAGCAGTGTTTTCATGTTACATACAGTGTTACAGTGACTAGATCTTTAACAGCATGACTTGCTAGGTTGCTAATACAAATATTCAGTGAACTTTTCCAGATAAGTTATGCTAACACTTATATAAATGCACAGTTAAAATTGCAATAGCCTCATTTGAAGTTGCTGTATAGTAGTCCAACTGGACATTTGAAAATACCAATAACCAAGATGGAAAATTCAAAAAATGTTTGAATAGAATTTTTTTTAGCTAGGTAGTTTTGATAGTGTCTATGTGTTTATGCCTGGCAATGTTTGTGTTGGCCTCATGATATTCATTTTTATTGTGTGTAAAGTCTATGGCCAGATGAGCCAGAGATTTGGTCAGTCTAAACAAGGCTTTTGGGGAGACAAGACGCTGTTTGCGTACTGAACCTTGACTGCTCCAAAATGCCTGTTGGTTTTAATCTGACAGACTGTCTGCCAGTGTATGTGGACACAAAGAGAGAGAACAAGAGTGTGACGGAGAGAGAAACCGAGAGAAATAGACCCCGAGAAATAAAATAAGCTGATCTCTGCATTTCTCGTGTGTGTGTGTGTGTGTGTGTGTGTGTGTGTGTGTGTGTGTTTATTCCAATTTGTGAGACTTGAGTTGGTGAGTATGCTGTAGGATATCATTAGAGGTGGAAGGGGATGTGTGTGTATGTGTGTGCTGAGTCATGTGTGGGCTGACCACAGCAACTCCATTCTGTGTGTGTGTGTGTATTTTGTGTATGCATGTGTGTTTTTGTGTGGGCAAATGTTGGACAGTGTGTGTGTGCATGGTAAGGTCAGCATTGCATTTTTGTGGACTGGGACACATCCTAACCGTCCCGCAGGGCACACACAAAACAATCAGTGTCTAAAACTAGAGTTGATGTACCATACCAACACACACACACATACACACACGCAAAATGCCTTACTTGCAAGCATGAACTCACAAACACAACAAATTGAGGACATACCTTAGACTGCTGTTGTTTTGTATAAAGCTAATTAAAACTAACATAACCTAAATGAAAACGTTAGCATTTTTAGAATTAAAAAAATATATATATATTTATTGGATTTATGAATCATTTTTCCAATTTAGGTCCCCAAAGGCTTTGTCGGATTCAGCTAACTTCTAGGGACAATTTTGTTCCCCAAGTATAGCTAAGTAAATCCACACTCACAGACTTCCTCTCCAGCAGCACTTTAATCATGACCAGTATATTGCTGAATCCACAGCATTTTGTCCTTTCTCAAGAGCTTTTTTAAAACCATGTCATATAATGAGTGTGTGTGTGTGTGTGTGTGTGTGTGTGTGTTCCCTTTCACGGGTTGTATTTTTGATCTTTCGTTCTCTATAATTATTTTGTTCCTGACTTGCATTCTCCTGCTGTTTTTTCTTGTGTGTAGAGTGTGTGTGTAAGTGAATTTTCCTGAATTGCATCCTCCTGGTTTTTCCCTAGTATATAATTGTGTGTCAATGTCCATTTTGAGACCTGGGTAGTGATGTCATTTGGCTTGCGGTTGCCTGGCTACCAGCCCTTCTTCAGAACACGACTTCCTCTGCTTGTGCTTGATCTTTCTGACTGATCCCTAGTGACCTATGAGCTTTAGATGTGAAAGGTCAGGTTGTGTACTGTCATGTCATCTGCTCTTCCTAACATCTTTCTCTGTTTTTTTTTTCTCTCTCTGTCTCCAGGATGGGTTTGGTGATGGGATGGCAGTGAGCATGGCCCTTTGGGCAGGCATATGGGCCATTCTCCTACAATTGGCCCTCTTGCTGTTCTTCTCTCCACCTCTAGGCCACTGCCAAGGTGAAAGGTCCCGCCTACAGTTTACTCAACCACTGTACCATGCGTCGGTCTACGAGAACTCGGCCGCCCGCACCTACGCTGCCAGCCAGGTGCGCATGGGCATCCCTCTCCAACATCACTCGTGGGATGTGAGGTACCGCATCACCTCCGGGGACGAGGAAGGATTCTTCAAGGCCGAGGAGTACACTCTGGGTGATTTCTGCTTCCTGCGGATAAGAACCAAAGGGGGTAATGCTGCCATCTTGAACCGTGAAGTTCAGGACAACTACTTGTTGACAGTGAAAGCTTCCATTAAGGGGGATACATTAGAGGCCTGGACTAAAATTAGTGTGCAGGTGTTGGATATGAATGACCTTCGACCCCTTTTCTCCCCTACCACATATTCTGTTACCATTGCAGAAAGCACACCCTTACGCACCAGCATAGCTCAGGTCACTGCCACGGATGCCGACATAGGATCAAACGGAGAGTTCTATTACTTTTTCAAGGAGCGAATGGAGCTGTTCGCTGTGCACCCGACTAGTGGAGTTGTTTCTCTCAGTGGGAAGCTGGATGTTGACACTCAAAGCCGCTATGATCTTGAGATCCAAGCTGTGGACCGGGGAATGAAGCTCTATGGGAATAATGGAGTAAGCAGTACAGCTAAACTTTTTGTTCATGTAGAACGGATTAACGAGCATGTGCCCATTCTGAGTATTGTTACATTAGCACCTGTATGGACTGAGAAGTCCCCAGTCGTAGCTGTGGTCACCGTAGCGGATCTTGATGAAGGGGCGAATGGAGAAATTGAAACAGTGAACATTATGGCTGGGGACCTTCTTGAGCTCTTCAGCATCGAAAGGACAGAGATGCCAAGTGAAGAATTGGTGGATGAGGAAGTCACTCAGAAAGGATCTAGAGAGTTTGTCCTTCGTGCAACAGAGCAGTTCGACTGGGACAGTTATCCGTTTGGATTAAACCTCAGCTTGCAGGCTCGGGATCGTGGAACACCTCAGAAGTTTTCTGCTGTGCACACGGTGCACTTACAACTGTCACGACCAGCCCCGGCGGAAGTCATATTTCAGAAGGACGAATACGAGGTCCTGTTGAGTGAAGTTGCCCCTCCTGGAACTGTTGTGGAGGCTGTGAAACTCCAGCCAGAGCCAGATGATGCTGAGTACATCCTGACCCCATCTACTGATTCGGGGTTCTTCAGTATCAACACCATGACTGGCGTCATCAGCACGGCACGTTGGCTCACCCAACTCACACAGGAAGTATTTGAGCTAGAGGTCTTAGAAGTAGACAGTGACCTTAGGGTCAAGGTTAGAGTCATTCTTGAGGATGCCAATGATAATGCACCATCATTTGCTCAGCAGTCTTATGAGGTATTTGTCAATGAAAGTGTTGCAGTAGGCACCACTATTGTTGTGGTGACTGCTTCTGATGGTGACCATGGGGAAAACGGGTACATCACATATAGCATGGCTAGCTTGACACCATTACATTTTAGCGTGCAGCAGTTCACCGGAGCAGTCACGACAACACAGGAGCTAGACTTTGAATCATCTGTAGAGAGTTTTAGTTTTGTGGTTCGTGCTTCTGACTGGGGTTCCCCTTATAGGCGTGAGAGTGAAGTCAATGTCACTGTGCACCTAGAGAATGTTAACGATAACAAACCCCTATTTGAGAAAGTGGCCTGTGTTGGTGTAATCTCTCGAGACCTTCCGGTAGGTGAGGTTATCACCACAATGTCAGCCATAGACATTGATGAGCTAGAGCTAGTCAAATACAAGATCCTCTCAGGGAATGAGCGAGGGTACTTTGACTTAAATCCCGATTCTGGTGTCATGACCTTACATCACTCCCTAAACACTGCAGCACCCAAAAACTCATTTAGTCTAAAAATTACTGCTACAGATGGGGAACACTTTTCCGATCCCATGTTTGTGAACATATCTGTAGTGCAAGGGAAGTCACCGCCCAAGAGCTTTAGTTGTACCGAAACCAGAGTAGCCCAACGACTAGCTGAGAAACTTCTGAAGAAAGCCAAAGCTAGCAGTAAACCCAAAATGGAGGAGGGCTTTATTGACCTGTTCTCTGTGAACCGACAAACGCCTCAATTTGACAAATCCTTCCCAACTGACATCACTGTGCGTGAGGATGTACAAGTCGGCACGAGTGTGTTTCAGGTAAAAGCCTTTGATGGAGACACTGGGTTCAATGGACAACTCTTATACGTCATTGCTGATGGCAACACAGACAGTTGTTTCAGTATTGGAATTCTGAATGGCGTGATAAGCATCTTCCTTCCTCTAGACCGTGAGAGGACAAATCGCTATCTTCTAAACATCACACTGTATGATTTAGGCCAACCGCAAAGATCCTCCTGGAGACTTCTTACAGTTTACATAGCAGATGCAAATGACAATGCACCTCAGTTTCTTCAAGACGGCTACCAGGCCCGCATTCCCGAAAACACCCCTGTTGGTACCGAAGTCATCCAAGTGGAAGCTACTGACAAAGATCAAGGTCTCAATGGCGAGATCCAGTATTCCCTACTCACCAGCACATCACAGTTTGGCATCAACAGCTCCAGTGGGATTGTATATGTTGCAGGTCAGCTGGACCGTGAGTTTGTTCCGTTCTTCATATTAAAAGTGGAAGCGCGAGATCGAGCAGAGCGAGTGGCTCAGCAATTTTCAGTAACAACTCTTAAAATCTATCTCGAGGATGTTAATGATTGTCCACCAGCCTTTATCCCAAGTGTTGTTAGCGCCCGTGCACTAGAAGACCTCCCAGTGGGCACTGTCATTGCCTGGCTGGATACGCAAGACCCTGACCTAGGACTTGGAGGGCAGGTGCAATACTCGCTCGCTAACGACTACGATGGCCGTTTTGAGGTCGACAAGACTAGCGGTGCCATTCGTCTTACCAAGGAGCTGGATTACGAAACTCAACAGTTCTTCAACCTAACAGTTCGAGCGAAAGACAAAGGCCGACCGGTGTCTCTCCTGTCAGTTAGCTTTGTTGAACTGGAGGTGGTGGATGTTAACGAGAACCTGTACGCGCCATATTTCTCAAACTTCGCCATGAACGGATCAGTAAAGGAAAGCGTTCGGATCGGGACTTCTGTGCTCCAGGTCTCTGCAAGGGATGATGACACGGGAAGGGACGGCGAGGTGCAGTACTCCATACGTGACGGCAGTGGTCTTGGGAGATTCACCATTGATGAAGAAACAGGTATGTGTTGATCATGTTTTTCATATTGATTTTTTTTTAAAGTTCAATGATGTCTTGAAAAGTGCTTGAAATTTTGTTGAATATGTTGTGGCTTCCTTGTACAGTTTTTGCAGTCTTTTATTCAGTGTGAGGTAAAGAGCTAATATGGTAAGGTAACAAATGTAAAAAAAAATTCTCACAAGGGTTTTTCTGAGTCACCTTATTGTGGTGTTTTAAGTAGCTTACTTTGCTTTCATAATCACTAGGTATTGAATACAGCTAATATGCTGTAGATAGAGCCTGTAATACGGAAAGGGAAAAAAAAACTTATATGCCACTCACAGTGGCTTAATGGGACACATAAATGAAGAGTGAATAGGCTTCAGTGGTTTATCACCTCAGGCCAGATAAACACTGCATTGGCCTACATTTTATTTTGGTCGAGTTTTGACAGTTGAGATGAAGGGGGAACGATTGAAGTGCGATTGAAATTTTGATAGTGTTATGGTTATTGTTTCATGTACTGCATTCAATTCACATGCACCGTTTTGATGGGATAATTAGTTTTTGTCCAGTTTTGTTGGACAAAGTGGGTATATATGTGTATGTGTGTGTCTGCGAATAATGATTTCTCTGTAAAGAAATATGTGTGTACGTGCCGAAAAGTGTGTGTGTGTGTGTGTGTGTGTGTGTGTGTGTGTGTCTGTGTCTGTGTCTGTGTCTGTGTGTGTGTTTGTGTGAGGTTGATTTATGTGTTAAGCCTCTGTTGGGTGGACTGAATTAGCTTAGCTTTAAGCTACACACTTAGCTTTAACCCTCCATTTTTTTCTCTCCCCCTTTTCTCTCACTCTGTCATTTTCTCGTTCCCCTTGACAGTGAGTTTTCTGTCAGTGAAACCGATAGTATCCTGGTTTTTATTAGTATTGCTTCTGAAGGCAAGCATCACTATTATTATTACTCATACTTAGGGCTAGGGATTTGATCAAATTCTTGACTGTAAGTGTTTAACTTCAGTATGTCATCTGTCAACCGCATAGCAACACGTTAAAAACCAATCAACCACATAGCAACATTCTGGCATTAAACCACAACACCTATGCTATTTTTACTAAGGCTAACACCACTCACATTTTTTAAGTCCATAAGACCAAGAAATCCACAAGGCAAGATGAAGTATGTGTGAAAGTGTTTATGTATGTGATATCCGTCAGCCTGTAAGGTGGCAGAGGTACAATAAACTGTGAAAAAGAAGTAGGCTATGTGGCATAAAAGAAGTGTTCCTGTTGGGAAATACAGCTTTAAGCTGGTAGCTATGTTTTGGAAGCTTATTTCTAGTAGATCCAAGAAGGTTATAAGCTTGTGCAAGCTGGTTTATCAGCCACCATGATCTAAAAGTCATCTTGACCACCTTGAACTGGTATGTTTCTGGTCCAAGATGGTCAACCACCTAGCACCAGCTTATGTCCAGCTTGGATAAGCAAGAAATCAGCTACCATGTTTCGGCTTAATTTTGTTTTTTTCATCAGCGGTTTCGTAAAAGCAGTGCTGGGTAGTAACTGATTTCATGTAATCTGGATTATGTAATCAGATTCCAAAAATTAATACTTGTAATTAGGTTACATTGCATTTTAAAGTGCTTGTAATTAGATTACCGTTACTTTTAATAGATTACATGATAACATATTATCTACAAAATGGCAGTAAATTATTCATAATGTATTGATTCACCCTAATTATTCTTTTTTCTCTCTTAAATTTTCCTTTCTAAAAAAATCCTACCACTTATATACATTCACAAAGATTTACAGTAACTTCGAACACCAGCCACTTCTCAGATGAATATAATAACACAGAAAATGGAGAGGTCACACAATTAGTTTAATTTGACATTCTTATGATTTAATTAATTATTAGCTTTTCATCACCTCGCAAACCCCCTGCAGTTGTTTCAGGGGTTTAATGCACTTCATTATGTTGATAACAAAGAATGGAAAATATTTTATTACGAGTTAGGTCGAAAGTAATCAAAAAGTAGCCAGAATACATTACCTAATATGTGTAATCCAACAGATTACATTACTAACTACAATTTCCGCCATTTAATTTGTAATCGGCAATGGACTACAATTTGTAAGTAATTTACCCAGCACTGGATGTGTGCACACTGGTACACGGTGTGTTGAAACCGTGTACCAACCGGATGAGGTCGACGAGACTTGTAACACAGTGTAAATCGAGAGACTGAGGGGAAAAAGAAAATGAGTCTGGATGAAAGAGTTTGGGGTTCAGAGGCCAGAATGGTGTGTGTGTGTTTGTGTGTCTACTCACCCGCAAGCTGCCTGACAATGATCTGGAGGTTTCAGAACGACCCTCAGATCTCCCGTGGTCTTTCACCTCTCCTTGGAATGAGGGAATCAGGAAAAAAGGAGGGGAATGAATATCTGTCTATTTCTTTTAAGACAGAAACGAGAGGGTTCACTGTGGCCTTTAAAGGGCATGGATCACACACACTGGTGCAGAACAGTCACCTTCTACTTTTTAAACCCTTCTACAACTCGCTGACAGCAACAAAGCAAAGCATCTCCAGCTCTGTACTTCAGTACTGCGGTACGAGTGGTTTAAAAACGTGGTTTTGTGAGATTTGTGTCCTGGCAGCAGGAAAAATTATTAATTAATATTGTGAAATACTGTATATACACATTCTGTACATCTTAAATCACAAATCATAAATATCATAATTAAATAATTGATATCATTATATATACAGTGTATATACAGCAGGGGTGCCCAAACTCGGTCCTTGAGGGCCGGTGTCCTGCAGAGTTTAGCTCCAACCCCAATTAAACACACCTGAACCAGCTAATCAAGCTCTTATAGGCATACTAGAAACTTACCAGCAGGTGTCCTTGTAGTATTTTTCAATCCTGACTTTAAGTATGCATATCTCCAATGGGACTGTCTGTCTGTCTGTTTTAACAATGAAAGAAGGATTTGAAACCTGTTTGAAACCCTCCTTTTATTTTTCCAATTCTGTTTGGTGCTGCAGAAATTACACGCTGTATAAGGCAAGACTTGACGGTTCGGCATTAAACATTTACATTTAGAGGATTCCTGATAGCCTGTTTCTATGGTTGCAACCGTAAATGATCTGCGCATACTTCTTTGTTTTTCTACTTTCTACTTCTTCCTTCACTGTTTCTCCATTTCATATAAACACACACACATATAAGTAAATGTTTCATCCATTTGCATACTCACACACAAATTGGCCAACCCCGGGGGTCAAAGGTCAGGGAACCAGTGTCAAAGGTCGTGCACTTTGTGTCACTCACCTGTCACTTTTCCAATGAAGAGTCAATCCAACTGTTTGCATACAGATGTTGTGTGTCTGTATAGATTTGATGGAAAGAATAAGGACAGAACAGAGACTCAGAGGCAGTTTGCATGTTGTACGCCACATGACATGATTGCATATTTGCAAATGCGCACACACACACTCAATGCACACACATTTTGCAGTAGCACTAGCAAGTGAGGGAATTTATTGCCCTTGTTAGCTCTGTGCTGGCATGAGCCATAAATCACCCGGGGATGGAGCGCAACTCTACAGACGCAATTACAGCTTAAAGAGCACACGCGCACACACACAAATTGAAAGGAAACACTTCACACGTGTCTTTGTACATGCAATTACAACTTAGAAAGCAATTTTCCCCAACAGGGAGACTCAGCTTGAAAACATAAGGCATGTTCCGACAAACACAAACGTTATATCCAAAGGATTTTCTGTGCACTTACGGCCGCTCTCTATGCATTCTCATTTCAGCTCGGAAGCTTCTATTGTTTGCACAGCACAAACAGCGATTCAAGGCTGCTCAATTGTACACTGAGCATCAAAAATGTCAAACACAAAGTGTGAAGAAAAGCCCATGCTCATTACAGCCGCCGCCGAGCAGACGCTTTTCATCTGCAGGGACATACAGTGCACTAATTGCACTGATGGTCCCTGCAGAGCGTCCTGGGGTTAAGTGCTAGTTTGCGCACCGCTGAAAGAGCCCTGGCTTACGCTTAGACACCCGGATCCTTTACTGTTAGACTGCTGATGCTGTACTTGAGTTCAGGTGTGTAATTAAGGGAATAGACTTGGTTATTTACAGCTTATAATCACATGAAATCTAAACGGACCCTGTTCACTTTTTTAATGTAGGTTGCTGCATATGATTCATTAGTGTAAAATGTGCTGAAACTAAGTTTCTTTTCAGATGACATCATTGAGCCCTCTTGATGTTTTAGCCCCGCCCTTCCTGGCTCTTTTTAGTATTTAACAGCCATTTTTTTATGATCCAATACATTTTTGATGGATGTAACTGACTAATTTAAAATTTAATACTATTTTATTTATTTATTTATTTTTATTTTCACTCAGAAAGAAGTCACATTATGGAAGTAATAATTGATTGCAAGCATTTTATGTTGGGACTGAAAGCTTTAGCAATTTTTACACATTCAGATTTCACTCGCAAATGTGTTGCATTATGAAAGTAATGGGGTTTATGCATTTCATGTTGATTTTAAAGGTCCTGTAAGTTCACAAATGCCTACATTATTACATGTCCTCCAGAGTTTATTAGACACAACCTTTTCCAGAACTGCACCCTGTAAATGTGCATGTCATCTCAGTTTTGTCAGAATTGGTCAAAATAGACAAACTGACGCTCTCGGCTTCCTGTTTTCCGTATATGGGCTGCCATGTGAGATCTAGTGCCTCAGAGTCTTCCTATTGGCCATCCAAAGAATCTGACCATGGCTCACAATCACATATTTAATGTTTTTTTTTTTCACTTTACAGAGCCCAGGGCTTTCTCAGAGACAGGTGTGATATTTCAGGACACATAATTCAGTCATATCTGTCAGATAATTTTTTTCTCAGTGCCATTCCATAAAAAATTGTTTAAAGCTACTAAAGTCTTCAGACTATGACGTCCTGTTGATTTCACGAAGTACTGTGATTTCAAATGGCA